AGAGACCTGAGATGCTGGCCTCTTTGAGTCTATGGAGCAATTTGGCAGTATGCAGCATGTGACAAGGACTGTCCATACCTGCCATCACATTTGCCCTTTTTGAGAATTTAGGCTAGGATGTAATTGACAAAGGAGTGTGTGGACAGACATTTTCCTTGACACTGTCCCAAGGACAAACAGCCAAATGTTGGTGGCCCTCAGGGTACTTTCTGCCCTGGCAACTTGTTTTGAATCACTCCACATGCTCTGAAGTTATCAACTGCCACCCCATCATGTCCACAGCTCTGTCTCAAGCTCAGCCTTCCCCCTGTGTCTACAGCTGCTGCATCCTTGCTTGGTTATTCAAGAGTGAACTCTCTTTCTCTCCTCCATCCTTCCTTATCCAAACACATGGTGTGCCCGCTGCTATGGCTTGAATGTCCTTGTCCCTCTAGCCTTCATGTTGGAACTGGATCCCCAGCAGTACTTGAAGGTATCACCTTGGGGACTTTGCCCTCGTGGATGAAATTAGGTGCCTTTTGAACTTCATGCCCTTCTACCTTCTGCCAATTGAAGGCACAGCATTCTTCCCCCTCAAAGGACACCGCATTCCTGGTGTCATCTTGGAAGCAGAGACTGGACCATCACCAGACAAACAGCCCACTGGTGTCTTCACCTTGGACTTCATCTTAGTGGAGCTGTTAAAAACACAGTTCTGCGCCGGGCGGTGGTGGCGCACACCTTTAATCACAGCACTCGGAAGGCAGAGCCAGGCAGATCTCTGTGAGTTCGAGGCCAGCCTGGGCTACCAAGTGAGTTCCAGGAAAGGCGCAAAGCTACACAGAGAAACCCTGTCTCAAAAAACCAAAAAAAAAAAAAAAAATTATATATTACACAGTCTCCATTTATTCTTCTGCAGCATTACAAACAGAACTAGACAACTGCCCCTCTAGGCACCCAAGCCAAACCTTCAGGCATCATTATTGTCTTCCCATCCCCAACTCCCCATCCACCTTCAAATCTTTCTAAAATTCCATTTCCCCCTCCAGCACTGAGAACCTGCACCACTGCAGTCTCAGCCATGAGCACCTCCCTGAGTGCTCCCTGGAGTCCTCCTGCACCACCGCAGTCTCAGCCATGAGCACCACTCCCTGAGTGTTCTCTGGAGTCCTCCTGCACCACTGCAGTCTCAGCCATGAGCACCTCCCTGAGTGCTCCCTGGAGTCCTCCTG